CGAAACTGCTGGTATATAAGAATAAAAAAGGTAGAAATAAGATTTATATAAGGAATAACAAGGGTAAGTGTGTATGTAACGAAATTAATGGCGAAAAACAAGTTCATGATAAAAAGAAAATTCGAAGGATCTGTGTGGAAATTGTCGAGAGCGATATTAAGGATGATTAAGGGAATATGAGATTTGTCGGTTAGAATGATAGGAAAATGGGATTTTTCTGCTGCATCTATTGCTTTATCCGTAAAATTAAAAAAGGGAACACTAGGATACCAATCGTCGTATCCGGGTTTTCGTCGCAAACAACGCCTTTAAGTTCTCTAACGACGGCGGGCCCTATATTACTTATAATTAATATAAATACCATTTTTTTAATTAACATAAAGACAAACCAAACCTATGTCATTAATCCAGTTCTTGCACTGGATCATGAGCTTGAACCTTCCAATAGAGCAAATTATATCTATCCCACCATCGTTTGTCCCCCTATCAATGATAATTATAATAGATAAGTGAATGTGTCATCGTTATTAACAACTAAAGAACATGCACGCCGGACCGGGACATTCTACGGTGATGTGCTTTCAGTAGTTAGCGTGTATCCTATTCATCATTAATTCCTGACAGAGCATGCGTCATTTCAGGAACATCGAGAAACCAAGAGAAGAACGTTCAACAGCCGGAACTGTTGGCCACGAAGTGCTTTCGATTCTCTTGGATATTTACACCGATGTGACAGCGTACCTTCATACAGGGTTGGCAATGGACTATGATATGCACTGAAAAAAATATCAATGGACATTGTCCATTGGGTCAGTGAAGAATTTCTGAACATTTTTTTTTGTTCTCTGAGAACATAAATTTTAATTTTTAGGATCTTAAAAAAAATTTTAATGTTCTCAAGAGTTCATAGAAGATATTTTCATAATATAATTTACAAATTTTATGTTCTCAAATAAGAACATAATTTTTAAATATTGTGTTCTCAAAATTATTTAAATGTTCTTGAGAACACTGAGAACATCAGATATTCTTCACTGCATTGGGTCAATGAACATAGTCCATTGGTAGCTACTAAGCCACATTTTTGGTCCATTGGCCAACCCTGCCTTCAGATACACGATAACTCGACCAACACTCAATGAAAAACTCCGTGAAGCTATTAACTTGCTTAAAGCCAACATCCGCAGTACTGTTATAACATCCCACTCGAATATTTTTCCTCTCATCGACGTGGAATGTTTAATGAGAATGCAAGCAACTTCAACTTCGCTTTCTAAACGAGACATTTTTTAATAAAACGTTTCGAAAAAGTAATTAACAAATAAACATTTTTACGTTTTTAGATATCAAATCGACATACCCCTTTTCACTAGAAAAATTTAAGAATCGTGTAAAATCTGTTAAAAAACATGTCGAAATTCCATTTTAAAATGTATGAAAAAATTTTTTAGACGAGTAGATGTGTCACGCAGTGACGGCTCTTCTAGCAATGTAACTGACTCCAACGCATCAATTCCATGCATTTGCTCAATGAGTTGTTGGCCCTAAAAAAAAATATTTTAAGTTAAACTAACCAAAATAAAAAGATTAATGAAGAATAAGGAATTGCTTACATTTTGTACTTGAGTTAATAGCAATTCAATGTATCCTAATCCCAAACGTATCAGATCGATATCTTGAGAACGAACGAATTCTAGAAATCCTATTATTTATTCATCTAAAAGTTATTAATTCACGCAACAGAAAGTAACTGATGTACTATAATGTACATTTTTTACCTGGTAAAAGATCCTGATGAGGTAAAGATCTCATATATTCTTCTCCATGTGAAGCAATATTTAGCAAACTATATGCGGCCTGTGGATAATGTGACATGATTATTAAGCACAAATGTCAGTTTACACAACTAAAAAAAAAAAAAAAAAAATAGACAAACCTCCTTACGAATATCAAAATTGGTATGTGTCGCGATAGTTGAGAGAATTGGAATAAATCCAGTATTAAATACTTTGATCAAAACTTCTGGACGACGACTATTGTATATAAGAGTAAATAGCTTAGATATAAATATATATATCTGGCTTTTTTTTTTCAAAAAAAAAAAAAAAATACTTGCGTTGCCGTAATATTGGACATGACCCATAAACTTTCTTTTCTGACGGGTCTATAAGGAATATGTCGTGCATAGTAAATTTTTTGAGATAAACATTTCAGTTCATGCGAACATTTAAATAAATAATAATAATAATAATAATGACCTGCAGTCACTTTGAATATATTCGAGCATAGCAGGTAAAAAATCTGGCTGCTGAATCAAAATGTCAGTATTGTCATCCGGTCCACTGGCAATGTTACCAAGTGTACGAATCAATGGAAGCGCTAGAGGACCATGATTGAAAGGCCGCATACGCTTTACCTAATCATTAAGTAGGAAAAATTTTTTTTACGTCTATTTCAAACTCATAAAAAGCCCCTAAAGTTTGTTGAAATAACATACTAGAAGTGGTACGATTCCTTC